TCCTGCAGATTTGTTTAAAGACAGTACATAGTTCTATAGAGAAGAAACATTGGCTGCATTAGGTAGATTATAAAGCTGAATATTTCCTTAGGCACTAAGAAGCCATTGAAGGTTTTGGAGCAAGGAAGTAACGCGGTCAGACTGGCAGCATGTGTTCAGGTGGACTGGAGGAAGGAAAGAGCAATTAAATGGCTGTTGCATTAGTGTGGGCAAGGGAAGAAGCAAGTGGATGAAAGTAGTGACATGACAGAAGGAGACAGCTCTAAAAGAGTGCCATTTCAGGGGAGTATTGATAGGACTTGGCAACAGATGGGAAGCCTGAAAGCTTGGGTGACAGAGGATAGAGATTCCAGTACCCCAAGAGGAGGGCCAGAGGATGGGGAGCATTTCTAGGGCTGGGAGGAGGTGTGCTGCCTTTAATTCTCAACATGCTGGATAGTGAGGGCTGGTTGAACTCGGTGTGGCGATGACCAGAGGGTGATTGGAAATGTGAGTTTGGCACTTTAGTGAAGTCAAAATTCTTAAATATGACAGTAGCTACTTAGAAATTACAGCTGAATCAGGGAGAGAAAAGAGTTGTTAAAAGGTGTATAGCCTTTTCATGGGCAATGGAAGGTGATGGGTAATGGGAGCCAGATTTTTTTAAGGGTGTGATTCTTTGGGTACACGCAGTTCATGGGGAAATGCAGTAAAGGCTGAAAAGGTGGGGAAGGTTTCTGCTGAGAGATTAGTGTTGCTAAGACTGTTAGACCTTACCCATGTGGTTAGTTCCTAAATTGTAGTGTCCAGTAGAATGACTAACTAGCAAAAATGCACCATCGAACTATCTGCATTTCACCTGCCAAGGTCTGTGTTGGGTTTAATGTTACCTAAGAGTGCAGCATTATTAATGCCCTTAATTGGTCTCTGTCTGGTAGAAGCTGAAAAGAGAAGAATTTAGTAGTCTGATACTGGCAGTATAGTAAATGGCATCTCACAGGGGAAGGCAGAGGAGATTTGTAGGGAAGTGAACTCTGAGCCTAGGGATTCTCAGTTTTATTCTGGATATCTAAGCACTGCACTTCTTAAAGTAACAGCTCAGAGAAGCCAGTTCTGTAGTTATCAGATCTTGCTAATTGCAGCTCCCCTTTCATTCAGTCTTCTGTACCAGGGTGAAGTAATCCAGCTGTTCCTTAACAGGCTATTCTCAGCTAACAACCAGGTTCCTCCAACCCTGCTCTCTTTTCCCGTATTCTTGTGACCGGACAACTTTCTTAAACATGGAAGTATTTTGTAATGTACCTGAAGTTTGAAAAAGTAAAGCTAGAAGTACAAAGCAGGAAGGCAAGGGGATGTTTATGACAGAGCTTCGTTATAGAGCCAGGAGACATGGAATGTCATTTAACCAGTACCATTTCAATGAAAACAAAAAATCACAGCCATCTTGAATTTTGCATAGTGAAACAGTCCTCACAGACATGAATTCTAGTGCTCAGAAAGCCTGATGGTCATATATTACCTGCCTGTCACATCCTAATCTAAGTATCAGAGTTGCCAGTACAGAGCCAAGTCTGAGTCTGTACTGCTTCTGTACTGTTTTTCTTATTCTGATTATGCTTGCAATAGCAATACAGAGTTTTGGCCAAAATGGAAAGCCCAAAACTCTGGTTGAGTGACCTTTGAGTATGCTAGGGTTGTTGTAAAAGCTCTTGCCCTTTATTCACCTCTTCCCTACATGGAATTCACTTCCCTCCATTGTAAGAGTTATATTTACATTTTCTTGTAGAAAAGATCTAAGAGTTAGAGCCAAAAGACATCAATGGCTAAATATATGAAATGTAGAAAGTGGGTTATGTGAGTTTTCTTGCCGTAGACCTTTTTTGAGTGGATGACTGTAAGCCATCTGTTTTTTTCTAGACAAATGGCATTTAAAGAAATTTTCAGATGTGGTCAGGTCACTGATTAAACTCGTGTCCTGTTTTTGGCTCTGCTAGACCATGCAGAGCAGTCTTGCTAATACTTCAGGCCCTGTCAGCAAAATCCACAAATGCTTTGGGCAATGTGGATTTTGCTGTGTCATGGAATGATAGAGTTCTTGCCCACCTTGCATAACTGTGGAAAAAAAAGTTTGAAAAGACACCTTTGAAGCTATCTGTCCTATTTCTTTGACTCACTGTGGACATAACTTTCTGTTTGGTGATAACATATTCTAGTAGGGAATAAGCGAGCTCATGTTTTCCCACTCTCATTATTTGATACCCAGCCTCTGGGTCTCTTTCTTCAGTTAAAAGGATTTTAATGAGGAAGGAGGCTCTAGGAACAGCCTCTTTTCTGGATCTTTTCCAGAGTCCATTATTATTTCAGTAACAATAAGGACAATTAGGGTGTTTTGCAGTTGTCCAACATCTGTTACATATATATCCCATTGGATTACAAGTGACCTCATGATGTATGAGGTTGATGTACTGTCATCCTATTTTGTAGATAGAGAAGACCAACATTCAGTGTTGGAATGAGTTATTTAAGGGACGTAGTTATAAGTGTCATATTTGGGATTTGAACCTAGATTTTTTTTTTAATCTCCAAATATTTTTTTCTAACACTTTTTCTTTTCTTTTTTAACATTGAGCCACTCTCAGGCCTTTCTATATATTAAGTTCTAGGGTCCTGTTAAAAGTTTACTTAGCAGACGAATGGACAGCCCAGACATACATATTATTTAAATCTTTTATCTGCTTGAAAACTAAAATTTTTGCTTTATTGAAATAATTTGGTATGTAGGCAGCATTGGGTGGCAGGCAGTAACTTAAAACTTGCTTGATGTTGCTTGAAAAGCTGCTGTTTGTCAGTAAAGAACAAGTGAGGTCTGTGTACTGCAGCTAGGGAGTTCCTTAAAGAACTAGAGACAGATTAGTCACTGAGAAGCCGGGCCTGAGGAACTTACCCAGGTTCCTTAGTTTACCGTTTTTTATTGTAGATAACTTAACTTTTAGACCTAGTTGTGGGGTGGCAGGAGAAGGGGGAGTAGGGAACTGCTCTAGGAGGAGTCAAGTTTACTTTTAGAATGGGTGCTTTCTTGGCTACAATCTGATCTCAAGTAACTGGTCTTGAGGCCTTCACAGAATGGAAACAGAGGCATTCACTGAATGAAAAGGATCTCATTCTTGTTTGTGGCTGTTTTCCCCTGCAGTGGGCGACCTTGAGAATGGAGAGAGGAGCCAAGGAGAAGAACCACCAACTCTATAAGCCCTATACCAATGGTAAGACTGGGTCTTGATGCTTATCCTAAAAGGTCCCTTTGAAATATATTTCCGAATGCTTTTAATTTCATGCAGACTCTTCAGTATGAAAAAGGTAGATTATGTACTCTGAGTAGTCTTAGCATGCTTTCTCCCAGCATGTTTCTTGACAGGGTGTTCTCTTTTGCAGGAATCATTGCAAAAGATCCCACTTCACTAGAAGAAGAGATCAAAGAAATTCGTCGAAGTGGTAGCAGTAAGGCTCTGGATAATACTCCAGAGTTTGAGCTCTCTGACATTTTCTACTTTTGCCGGAAAGGAATGGAGACCATTATGGACGATGAGGTGACAAAGAGATTCTCAGCAGAAGAGTTAGAGTCCTGGAACCTGCTGAGCAGAACCAATTACAACTTCCAGTATATCAGCCTTCGGCTCACTGTCTTATGGGGCTTAGGAGTGCTGATTCGGTATTGCTTCCTCCTGCCACTCAGGTGAGTGCAGGGGGACAAAGGGCTGGAGCTATTGCTGCCTAAGCCCAATGCATGATCTGCCTACCTACGTCTCCCTGCTTTGTTTTCCCACTTTAGAAAGAAGGATAGTATGATTCTTTTACCAGCCAGTCCTTCTGACCCTTGGTTATTATCCTTGTAAGGCCCTTGGATTCTCTGCATATCAGATAGAAATAGTTAGGTTTCTAAAGACAAATTGTCTAGGTAGAGTAAACACAGGGAAGAGGAATATGATGTGCTTTCTGGCCACTCCTCCCTGGTCATTGCTAATTCTTTCCTAATGCTTGCCTCTTTAGTACAGAGGCAATATTGATCTCTCAGCTTTCTGTACCATGTGTTTTCCGAGTATGCTTTGCCAAATGCTGGTTCCTTTCAGGCTCTGTCTACTTCCTGCTGCTTCACAGAGAAGCTGTGCTTCTCACCATGGTTTAAAGCAAAAGGGAAGGGTAAGACAGCAGGACAGCATGTGCCTGAAGACAGAACAGCCAGGTTAAGATTTCTGGCTGATGACTGAGGAAATAGTGTCTGCTGAGAGCCAGATCCACAGTCGCTGTCAGCTGTCAGTTTGGAATCAGAATGATCTCTGGTTGTGATAGGCCTGCCAGCATTTCTAGATGGAACCCTAGTCTTGGTCCTTCATCATCAGATCGCGATGCCCACTTTCATTTTCACAAATTCAATTCTATATATGGTGTAAGGGTTTAATTTGTCTTCTTATTACAGGATAGCTCTCGCATTCACGGGAATTGGTCTTTTGGTGGTGGGCACCACTGTGGTGGGATACTTGCCAAATGGGAGGTGAGTAGCATGAGAGTGACCATGTCTAAAGGGTACTTAGTTCTGGGAATGGTGGCTCTGATATGAAGGTCAGGCTGCTCCTCTGGGTGCAGCCAAACTACAGAATCTTAGGTGGATAAAATTACCCAGTAATAACAGTGGCGCCACCATTAAAGTCTTTTATTTTTTTTCTGATCTTGATCTGTGACTGTTCTTTTTGCCCTCTGTCCCTTATACTCTTCCCATTTTAAAGAGAAAAGGGCTTGCCGATTTTACAACGTGTTGTTTAATTTCAAACATTCTACTGTGTTGATAAATTGGTAAGAGAATAAGAAATGTAGGTAGGGCTTTTTGTTTCATTTTTAAGGAGAAATTTGCCCCTTCTGGGAAATTTTGGAGCTGGCAAACCTCTCTTCTTCCCAGACTAATCAGGAGGTTAGACTCTGGCCTTTGCCCTGCCTCTGAGTACTGATTGGGAAGGAAAGGAATCTAGGAGACTCACCTATGCCTAAAATTCTAGGGCTATGAATTCTGAACCCATTAACTTAGGTGAAGTTTAAGCAAGTCTCATCATTGCTTTGTTTCCTTGTATGTAGACACAGAGGTGCTAATACCTTATAGGGTTTTACCATATACATTAATATTTATAAAAATACTTAGCAGTCTTAAAGGGCAGTGATAGTTAAATTGTTGGAGTCAGCAACTTTTCCTGCCTTCCTGCATGTAAAATAAAAACAAAAATCTTTGTCTCATTGTTGCAGGTTTAAGGAGTTCTTGAGTAAACATGTTCACTTAATGTGTTACCGGATCTGCGTGCGAGCCCTGACAGCCATCATTACCTACCACGACAGGTGAGGTAACTTGGTCATAATACAAAGGGAAGTGGCACTGGCAAAACACGACGTAATTATAACTAGCCAACGGGGGCTTTTCTGAATTTTCAGAGTTGATTGAAGCTGGTGAGGTGAGGGATGAGTTCCAAATAAATTGTTTCACTAATTTTTGTTGCTTTGCTTACATTCTAAACATAGGAAAAACAGGCCTAGAAATGGTGGCATCTGTGTGGCCAATCATACCTCTCCTATTGACGTTATCATTTTGGCTAGTGACGGGTATTATGCCATGGTAAGACTTTACTTCTGCTTTCTTGGGGCAAGACAGGGCAAAACTGGTCAGGTCTGGGAGGCTTCTGGACCTGTCACCAGGCTCACTCTTAACGTTATAACCAGATAACATGATTTTATGCATGGGCCCCAACATAGATTATTACCTTTGGTTCTGTTGCTTTTGGGAACTCCTTGGGACGTTGATAGGAAATATACTGAGCAGAGTAACTGAGAGTGTGTTTGGAGATTAGACTTTGGATGTGTACGTGGCATGGAAAGGGATGAAGATAGGAAGAGAGGATTGGAAAAGGCTGGTATCACTACCGTTATTCCTTTGTCTGAGACTAGGTGGGTCAAGTGCACGGGGGACTCATGGGCGTGATTCAGAGAGCCATGGTGAAGGCCTGCCCTCACGTCTGGTTTGAGCGGTCTGAAGTTAAAGATCGCCACCTGGTGGCTAAAAGGTAAATCAATAAAATACTATTCTGTACAACCAGTTACAAAGTAAGGACTTCAGAGGTAGTTATTTCTCCACAATGAAATTATAGTGTCTTCTACACTGAGATTATACTGCTTTCTTAATAAAAAGTTTTTTTCTAAAACATGGAGTATAAAAAATATAGAAACCCTAGTATTATTTACCAAGTTAGTAATCTTTCTAAACCTTTCTTATTTATTGTACCTATTGTAACAAACAACATATGCACTTTTAATGCTATTTTAAATCTCAAAATAAATTCATTATCAAAAATAAAACCAAACTTATAGCAGCGGAACAAAATGCTTCTCTGTTTTCAAACTTGGAAAAATGATACATCTAGTATAAGTAATGACAAGAGCTTTGCAGTAAAATGAGAGGAATCAAGACTTAACTTCCATAGGGGCAAATGAACTCACCACAAAAGTCCCTTTGCTGCTTCTCTCAGGGTTGAGGTGTGAAGCCAAGTGGACTTCCTAACTAGCCTGGCTGTTAGAAAGTCCAGTAGCAAGCATTTATTGAGGGTCTTCTTTACAAAGCCCTATGGCAGATGTGTCCTCTAGATAGTCCCAAGTCTGAGCAATGCCCTCTGTGCACAGACTTTAATACTTCATTCAACAGTTGTATGAATTAAATAGTAGTCATCTGATTTTCCTTATAAGTTTTATCTTTGTGAGATTTAGATTGTGGGTTTAAAAAAAATAGGGTCATATTTGTTCACTTGCCTTTATACAACATTTAGTGTCACATCTATGTAAGTTATTTATAAATGCATTTTGGTGACAATGGACATAAGGCTGTCTGACCATTTGTTTTATTTTTCTCTTCTGAAGACTGACTGAGCACGTGCAGGATAAAAGCAAGCTACCTATACTTATCTTCCCAGAGGGTAAGAAAGTGTTTATCATCACAGAGCGCTTTTGTCATGGGGAGGCCATACAGGATGAGAACTCTGGTGTTGCCTTGGAACCAAGTCCTTCAGCCTTTGTTGGGATTATTATTCCACTGAATAATGTTATTTGTTCTCTTTAGACTGGCTGTGGGACTAAAACCTCATAAGAATTCAGAATTTGGACTAAGAGTGCCATAGTATAAACTTCCCCAGTGCAAGAATCCCTTCTATAATGTTGTTGACAGGGTCTTTCAGATTCTTGTAGAGTTCTTAAACCTGCCACATCTGCTGAGTGTCTCTGGCCTTTTATGTAGGCTGGTGTGTGTGAATCAGGGAGTGGTCCTGTAATAAGAGAATAGGAAGCAGTACAGTATTTTACTCAGCTCTGTTAAGTGTTCGTTCATAAACTAGGGAGAGGGCAGATATATCCTGTTTGAAGAGTCAGAATTCTTACTATATTTGGCCCTTAAACTCCTAATCTCTGGGGTAAAGGACCAAAAGAAATAGCATTTTACTCTCTCCTGCATTTTAGGAACCTGCATCAATAATACATCGGTGATGATGTTCAAAAAGGGAAGTTTTGAAATTGGAGCCACGGTTTACCCTGTTGCTATCAAGGTACAAGACCTCTGAGGGTGCATGTGGTCATTATCGCTGCTGCCATGAATGGAACGCAGCAAGAGAAGGTGGAGGAAGGAGCTGATGTCACCATCAGCAGGTTGATCCTCTCTAGTCAAGCAGCCTGGGCTGGGCTGGTATGAGTCGAATGCTAGAGGAGGAGAATGCAGCATTGTCCATAACCCATTTAAAGGGACCGAGTTGTATTTGAATCAAGAACAGCCAGATTCCAGCCCACACCTCACCACCCCCACCTGATTCAGGAAATGGCAAACACCACATAAGCTTTATGTATTTCTCCCACTTTCTTCATAAACCTAGCTGGAATGTAAGGTACTCCACCTGAAGAGGTGGCTTACTGCAGTGGGTGGGGGTTGTAGCTGCCCAACTGGATTTGTGGAGAGGTGTGGATGGATGGGTGCAGATGTATCATCAGTACTGAAGGAAGAAACAGCTCCACTGCTCTGGGTTGTAGTCTCATCTTACATACCAAGAATAGTTTATAAAAATGAAATGGATCTTAAGAGCTTGTCTAGTCCATCCCCAACCTTTTATGAACTTATAGCTTGACCTTCACTCTAACCTGGAGAAATGGGATTCAGTTAGCAGTCAGTTTCCCTTTTTTCTTGTTCCTCCATCTCCCCCTTCACATCCGTCTGTTTTTATAAATAGATACATAGAATTATTTTTAAAAGCATACTATTACCATCATTATTCTAAAAAACACAGGCAATTGTAAATATGTTTAAAGTACTTAGGTTGAAATATCAGGGTAAAACTGAGTAAAATTTGAATTGTGCTTAGAATTTATCTTCATACTTTTGCAAGGATCTGTTGTCTGCGGAACATCCTATAGAAATATTTTTTATTTTCATCTTGCCAGCACAGCTAGTGCAGTTGAGGAAAGAGATGCTCCTTTTGGTTGAGCAAACAGTTACCAGCCCTCCCACTTTTACCAGGTAGGCAAAGCACCAGGGCAGGTATGGCAGATGAGTAGTGGCTGCAGGGTGACTGACCAATGGGTCAGGGCTGCTTAGGTGACTTGTTGGGGATGCAGTGTCTGCTCTGGGTGTAGGAATGGGGAGTGTTGTTTGCATCGCATGCATGCCATCCTGCATTTAATATACTGAGAGTCCAGTGCTTCGCCGCCGTATGTGTTTATTAAAAACAAACTACTAGAAAGAGCCCTTTTGCTCGCTCCAGAACATTGGTTCTTGGATCTTAGCTGCCTCGGCATCCCCTGGAGGGGTTGTGAAACTGCAGGTGGCTGGGCACCACACCCACATTTCTGAATCTGTATTTCTAACCCGATCCTGAGTGCTGTTCACCCTGCTGGTTGGGCGCCACACTGTGTGAGCCCTGCTCTCGGGCAGTGGTTCTTAACCAGTTTTGGAACATGGACCTTTGGGACAGTTACGACTCCTTTCCAAAGAAGAAGGCATGTAAATTTTACATATAATTTCATTCCGTTCACAGATTAAAGCCCACATAAGATTAAGAACTGCTCCACGAATGCTTTTCTAGATTTTGTGAAGGCTTTGGTAACCAAACTTGGATAACCTTAGCAATTTCAAGGTTCTTATTAGATTTCCACCAAAATTAAGTCATTATCTGATTGTGAGGAATTTACTGCTATTTTGAGCATTTGTCTTGGAATAGAGAATCAGCCCTAAACACTCTGACATATATCACATTTTTAAATGTATACAGTGCTTTATGACAACACTTCAAATCATATCCATTAGCTTCTGTTTAAGTCATTCTTGTCTACTGCCATGCCACCCTGAACACGCCCGATCTCGTCTTATCTCGGAAGCTAAGCAGTGTCAGGCCTGTTTAGTACTTGGATGGGAGACCACCTAGGAAGATCAGGTACTGTAGGCATAAGAAATAAAAAATAACAAAAATAAAACTCATTCTCCCTTATTTCCTTTTATTATAATGTGAACTCATTAAGTCTTCTACAGTTAAATTTCTTAATTTCTATAATTAAATCTAAGTATCTTCATTTCAGTAATCTGGTCCATAACTGGGTATAATTATCCAGTTTCTTTTCTGAGAATCAGAAAATTTAGGCTTGAAAGGCCTGAAAGATTATATAGTTCATACTTACCCTCACCCCCTGGAGTACAAGAGTCCTCACCACAGCCTCCCTGCCTATGTTCCTTCTCTAGCTCTTCCAGGCAAAGGGCATTTTTCACGCTGGTGGCAGCTTGGTTCTGTGGGGATAACTCTTGAAATTCTGTTTCCTTTTATCTTTCCACTCTCTGGCCCTAGATCTTTTCTTTATAATTACACAGTCAGTCTGATGTCACAGTCAGTCTGATGTCTGTGATAGCCCTTCAGACATTCGATAACAGTCCCATGATTCTTTGTTCAGGCATTCTCAAGGACTTGGTTCCTTTTGTTGCGTCTTACATAACTTCGTCCCGCACCTCTCCCACCCTGCTTACCTGCCACTCAAATTCTTCTGTTTGGGCAGAATGAGGGTCACAACTTTGGTCACATGTCCCACAAAACACCATTGAAATAGAGTCTTTGCCCCCATTAGAGTCGTCAGTGAAGGAAAAGGTCTGATAAGCCTGCTTCTTGGCAGGAAGTGGAACACCTGTGTGGTGGAAACACTGAATGTCAGTGCATGTCTGCTCACCAATGATTTAGTCAAAGGGGAACACATAATTAGCTTTTTTAGAAAGCATATCATAAGCTTTCTGATTGTTCTCTCTTTGGTCTTGAGCACTGGAAATGATATTTAAAAGTTAATAGTTATGTAGGAAAATAAATTTAAGGGAGGTACATGTAGAAGTATTTATGAGTGAATGACATGTCGAGTATTAGGTTTTTAAGAGGAGGGAATAGATGAAATAAGTAGGTGAAATCTTGGTAATGAATCTAGGGAATGGCTGTATGAGAGTATATTATACTCTCTGATTTTGAATATGCTCGAAAACTTAAATTATAGATTATATGCACCAATGAGTGAGTAAGATGTGAAACTAATCAAAGAGGGAGGACACTTGTTTGAAGAAGGCTGGTAGGGGAGACCTCCCTGATGATCTGCAGCAGAATCTTGGGTCAGTGAGGAGAGGTTAATGTTTCTAGAGATCACAGCTGCCCACATGTAGCATTGCTTAAGCAGTGTTTGTGGAGGGGGCCTGGAAACAGCTTTCTAATACTGATAACTGTCCCAGGGGATGCGCTGATTATTAGAACTACCGACCTCTTACCATCCAGCTTCCCATTATTTTTCAGTATGACCCTCAATTCGGTGATGCCTTCTGGAACAGCAGCAAATATGGGATGGTGACGTACCTGCTGAGAATGATGACCAGCTGGGCCATTGTCTGCAGTGTTTGGTACCTGCCTCCTATGACCAGAGAGGTAGGTACCCACAGCATGCAGGTCTTCACTTAGTTCTCTGTGACTGTGAGCCTGGGTTGAGTGGTCTTATTCACTCTTTCTTACAGACAGATGAAGATGCCGTCCAGTTTGCAAATAGAGTGAAATCCGCCATTGCCAGGCAGGGAGGACTCGTGGACCTGCTATGGTGAGTCAGAGCCAGGTTTTAGCAGCTGAGTTAGGAGAATGTGAATTTCTTTCTGATGGAGCTGTTGAGTCATTGACTCTGTTTACATAGACCCCTCCTCTCCCTAGTGTGAGGAATGAAGCTACCAGCCCTGGAGAGTGAGCAGTTTGTCTCTGTTCTCCTAGTTCCAACTCAGAAGTGCCCTCTATTACCTTGATCTCGGGGAACACGGGGCCCAGGATGCTTGGCCTGAAGCAGTTGATTCTGTGTACCTCTCTGGGGTTTGTATCAGTCTACCAGAGCACCCACATAGTTCTTGTCTCTTTAGGTCAGGGAGCCCTGATGCTAATCTGGAAACCTCATAGGAAGACTGGGTTTTCTGAGCTTGTGTATTTGGCAAAACTAGACCATCCTTAGAAAAGCAGAAGTTTCACTTTTTGCTTTTAGCTTGTTACCTACTAGAGCAGGAGTTGACAAACTTTTTCTTTAAAGTCGGTAAATATTTTAGACTTGGCGACCTATGTGGCCTCTCTTGCAGCTAGTTAACTCTGCCACTGTAGCGTGAAAGCGACCAGAGGTGATGCATAAATGAATGAGCGTCTCTATGTTCCCAGTAAAACTTCATTTACAAAAACAGATGTCGGGCTGGGTTTGGCCCATGGCCGTAGTTTGCAGACCTTTTACACTAGTGTATGAGATAGTTAGACTCCAATAACAGGAGAGTGGTAGGGATGAATGCTGCTTAAAGGAAACTATTCCAGCCTCTTAAGATCCCTAGGTTTAAGCACGAAGTTCAGCTCTGGATGACATTTGACTAAAGTAGGCATTATGGAAAAATGTGAAAATTCAAATTTTAAGCTGACCTGTGGCCCTCAGATATGGCCTTTTTAAAAATGCCAGCAATTACTGAGCTCTCACTCTGTGCCAGACACTTGTGCTGCTGATCCCATTTCATCTTCACAGTAACTCCATGCAGTACAGAAATTGTTACTCCCATTTATCAGATGAGAAACCGAAACTCAGGTGAAGTTGCTGTTTTTCAAAGTCGCAGAATAAGACTGGGCCAGATTCTGAACTCAGGTCTAACAGGCTTATTATAGAGCTTGAATG